GACACCAACGTCACCGCTGCACCCCACGACGCTGATCCCCGGGTGCAGGCCAGCAACCCCTAGCACCGGCCAAAACAGCATCAGCCAAACACACCGTAGCGGCAAATCTTTCCTCCCTGCACCTGCAGGAGAGACTGAGGCTGCCAAAATCTGTTTAGCACTTCCATCAACGCCCGTGCCAAGTGCTTAGTCAGTGACTTCCAGCCACGCAGTGGTTTGACTTTTGTTAAAACTCTGGCAGCGTCCACGAGCCTGCCGGTGCCTGTGCCGGGCTGCGGCGAGCTCAGGTCCCGGCTTGGCTTCGAGTGCTGCTGGGAAAAGGTCTTCAGGTGTGGCATCGATCTGATGGGGTTCCCTGGGGAGCAGCCAGGTGGTCCCATGTCGTTCTGGGGTGCAGCACCCTGGCTGCCCAGCAGCATGGCAAGGTGGGGATGGTGGCATGGATGGCGGCACGGTGTCTGGCAACCTTGCAGGGCCAGGCCAGGGCCCAGATGGTGGGAGCCAGTGTGGCACCTGCGGAGAATCAACCCCACATCTACACCAGCACTGGAGCCCTTGAGGGGCAGCAGCTTTGCACCAGCAGCAGGCAGAGAAGGCAGCGGCTCCTGTGCCAGCCAGCACTACCAAAGCTCCCAAGGGGCTACGAGCAAAACCCTCATACCGTGGTCCCACAGCCCAGCAATTAAGCCCCTCCTGTAATGAGGCAGCGTGCTTGCCCAGCATGGCATTGGCAGCCTGGCATGGGGCACGACGGAGCTGTGCCGAGGGCGCAGTGCCACAGCTGGAGCCTGGAGCCCAGCCGGGCCCCCAGCACAGCCCTGCCACTGCTGGGTGCTCACGGTTCCCATGACAGGGGGAGCAGGATGGGCACCCCGACACGCTGTCGGATCCGCAGCCTGAGGCCGTCTACAGCCCCACCACTGCCGTGCGGGATTTGCAGCCTGTCTGGGGGCAGCGAGACATGGGAGAGCTCGTTAATGGCTGGGAAGCACAAGGAAAACTCCTCTGCTAACAAGGGAGAGGGAAGGGAGCTGAGAGTGCTGCCAATTAAAAATACCGGCCACAAAAGGAGATGGGCACGGCAGGGAGGAGAGCAGGGCTCCTGCGTGGCCACGCTGCTAGCAGGCACCGAGCATGTCCCTGGCTGTCCTCCCTGCCGGGATCGCCGGAAGGGTGATGGAGAGCAGCAAGCACCCATGAGCACCCATGAGCACCATCCCGTCCTGCCCTACCCACACAGATGCAGACTCTGGGGCCATCGGGCAGACGTTGCCACACAGAGCAAGGGTGGCATCCCCAGTGCTGGGGCCCTTGCTCAGCCAGCCTGAGCCCCACCACTGTCCTTGGGACACCCCAATATCCCCACAGGCTGCTCAGGTGATGGTTGTGCCACGTGGGAGCACAGGGCTGCCCTTGCACCCTAGCCCCAGGGCACAGCCCCCCAATGCCTCTTGGAGCAGCTTGTGCCCCGCGAGCATCCGGAGGGGCCTGATGGCACTGAGCAGGGTCGGGCAGGACATTGTCCGCCCCAGGAAAGGGGGATGTGCTGCACTGCTGGATCCAGCGAGCCCCGGCACCGCTGGGTCCGGCTCCAGCCCATGATTCCTGCACGCACCGGGAGCCGCAGCCGTCTGCCATAGATACCGACTATAAACAGCGTCTGCCACGAGTAAACACCGCCGCGGGGAGCTCAGCCCAGCCGCTACTCCCAGAAATGCCTTTACTTAAACACAAGGATCACAGTAGCTAAATGCACGCTTGAGTTCAGCCTGGCGCTCTGCGTGCAGCGGGGGCGGTGAGCTCCTCGCCGGCCCCGTCCTCCCCCGCCACGCACTGACCCACGCCGGTCGCCCCACAGCAGCACCGCGATGGCAGGCGATGCACGAGCTGGCTGCATGTGCAAGGCCAGGCGTGCACGGGGCAGCCACCGTGCTCGACCCCAGCATCTAGCTGTGTGTCACCTTGACCACATCGTCTAGCTGCGTGTCACCCTGACCCTATCTACTGTGCCTGGCCACTGCTCCAGGCATCCCAGTGCACACCATGGGGAGACCCCTGTGCCCAAGCATGGCTCCAGGCACACTGGTGCACACCGCAGGGAGTCCCCCATGCCCAACCGCTGCTCCTGGCACTCCAGTGCTTGCTGCAGGGAGACCCCCATGCTCAACCATGGCTCCCGGCACTCCGGTGCATGCCGTGCGGAGACCCCTGTGTCCAGCCACTGCTCCGGGCATCCTGGTGCACACCATGGGGAGACCCCCATGCCTGGCTGCTCCAGCCCTTCCCCTGCACCCACGTCCGAGGCCAGGGCCCCACGCGGTGGGACTCCTCAGTGCCTCCATGGCCCCTGGCCGGGGGCTCCTCTCCCTTTCCAGCAGCGGGGCCGCACAGCACCCATTTGCGTGCTCATGAGCCAGCCCCCTGCATCTGCAGCCAGTGCAGCGCCAGCAGCGATCGATGCCCGGCCAGGGTGCGGGGGCTCCCGGCCAAGCCCCTGCTGACGAAGCACATCCTCACCCAGCTCCCCCCGGCAGTGCTGCGCCAGCTCGCAGGGAGCGGGCGGCTGCTCCGAGCAGATGGCTCCAGCCTCCGCTAAATCAACATCTACTTAATGAGGGGAAAGCCGTCCCTG